GGAGGGAGATCACGGTGGAAAATTATCAGACAATACGAAACAATTGATTCGAGGGCGAAATAAACATCTATCCTTTTCTTTTTTCATTTTACAGCCATAAATCATCCATTGGAAGCATCGTTTAAACATAATACATCCATTTGAACGCGAGTGCAACGTAATATAAAAAGCACTCCTGGAATCAAATTAGAAATCGATTTCTCTTGCGAGGGGAACGACATGAGAGTTGCTTTGAATCTTTATATTCACTTTGGGTTGTTTTATGCAAAGGAGGAGGCCGAGAGTCTCAGAGATCATTTGTAACCCAAGATATTCTCTTCTTGAGTCTCTCAGCATCAGCAAAGTCGGCAGAATAAATGAATAAATAGACACGCAGCTCTGGAAATAGTTTTCTTATTCTTTTTTATTGAAAGATGAGGGTTGTAATTGGTTAAAACTCAGGTTTTTCTCTCGGGGGGATTCAAAGGAGGGAAGAAGTTTGATGCCAAGGCCGCCCGTGCTGCAGTTTTGCGGTTTCTCGACAAATGTTACCCCACCGTGTTGCATCAGCCAAACCTTCTCCCGCCGAAGGACCTGGGTTTGCCTTTCAAAGTGAACTTTTGGCCTGGGGTAAAAAAAAAAAAAAGAGAGAGAGAGAGAAAGAGAGAGGGAGAGAAAGAGCCCTCCTGGTTCTCCTCGGAGGCTGAATAACCAGTAAATATCCTGACAAGTAACAAATGACTGTGGGCGTCATATTGTTGGGTGCTCTTGTCTCCCTTCTGCTAACAAGTAAATAAATGTTGCCTACCTATGTTCCCATTCTCTGGGCATGGAGTGGCCCGGCTGAAGGCGGTGGGTTCCCACCTACTCCTCAGCTGGACCCCGCCAGGAGAAAGCTCCGGCCTGACAACGAATTGGGGGCCAGATCAAACGAGGTTGGCCGTGGAAAAGCAGAATTGTTCAAACCCTTAAACCCTTGGCTTTAGCAGTGAGTGTGCGGGTGTGGATGGATGGATGGATGGAAGATCCGCAGACAGACACACGGACCGTTTTTAGCCCCGTTCCTTAATTGCTGAGCCGGGCGTGGTATTTCTCCAACAAAAGGCATTCCGTCTTCCTAACTTTATTTCGCCGCCTCATTAGAATGTTGATCTAATTACGCTGCTTTTACCCGCGCTGGCCCGACACACAAAGCTGGTGCGGCAAAATTAAAACGCGTGGGGAGTGTTTTTTCTCAGGAGCTTTTCTTGGACTCCTCATCCCAGAAAACGCCGAGCCGCTTTCTAGGGAAAAGTTTCCAAGCGAATAAAAGAGCATCCTTTTGTGCCCGGGGGGACAGAGCGCTCACACCTCCCCGTCCCCTTTCCCTCTTCTTCTTCTTTTTGTTTCTCGCGTGAAACTGGGATGGGGGGAAACCTTTTTAAGCCGGGGCAAGGGGAAGTTCTGCCGAAATGGGCTCCCCGCATAACTCGGGGGCCTTTTTAGCACTTAAAACGGTTGCGGATGATTCTAATTCTTCCCCCAGCCCCTCTCGCCCTCCACCTCCCCGCACCCCACCTCCCTCCTCTCTTTTAAAGTCTTTGAGGAAAGATTTTGACGTATTCGTGTTGTTATCAGATTGATGGGCAGGGTTTGATTGAAGCCCCTTTGTCATGCAAATGTCAGGCCCTTGATGGATGAGCTCGGAGCTGTGACAAACTTCGGGAGCCCCTCGCTCATTGGGCTGGGCCGACGCCGCGCCCGCCCCCGCGGCTCCCCCCGGCCCCGCCGGAGGCTGCGGGGTTCGAGGGCCGGCGATCCATGGAAGGAAGTTTTACAGCTTTGACATACTATCTAAAGGTTGTAGGGCAGGCGGGATCCCCCCCAAAACAGGCTGACCCTCCTCCATCAGTGGCAGATGGACAATACCAGGATGAACTCCTTCTTAGAGTATGCAATTTGTAACCGTGGGACGGGCGCCTACCACCACTTAGAGCCGAGCTCCCCTTCCTTCCCCTCGTGCTCAGGTAGCCCCTCCAGTG